GTTGCTTTGAATAAGGAGGAAGAATAAAAAAGGAGATTTTGGCTTAACAATGAGAACTTTCTAAGAGTAAGAGCTGTCCAATGGTGCAGTAAACATTGGCTGGATGGCCTTCTGTGAGAAGTGCTGCAGACGAGATTTCTGCAACGTGTGGGAAGTCAGACTACAAGATCTCCAAGTTCACTTTCTAATTCCAAACTGTGATTTGCCAATTCCATCTTTTGGCTATATTTTGAGTCTGGGCTAAATGATCATTTTCCTCTGTAGAATTAGTTATTTAAATATATTTGTTAGAGCATTTACTAGAAATGTCTTGCCTACTGTGGGATGGAATTCAAATTCATTATCCTTAGATGCGAGTATCTAGAACCATAAGGAGCTTTTGAGACCATTTGGTCCAATCCCCTCATTTTACAGATGAGGAAACTGAGGACCTAGGTGGTTGTGCCTTGTCTTAAATTAACATAGGTCATTTTACATTTTTGTCAGGTTGTTCTTGACTTGTTCTGCGATTTTATCAATATAGAGAGCCCCGACTAGAGAATTTTCCCTCCCAATGATTCCTCTGTAACTTAGGGCCTTAGGGAGTTGCCTGGTACATGGACTAATTAATGTGCAGGGGGTCACATAGCCAGAATGTGTCAGAGGGGGGGGCTGGAACCCAGTTACTCTTGACTGTGAGGCCGGCTCTGTAACTATCCTGCCATACTGCTGTTCTATTTTTGTCTGTGTAAAATATAGTATCTTCTTACAGTCTTTCATATTTGTGTTATGGAATTAAAAAAAAAAGAACTACTCTGTAGTTTTGGGATATCTTGGAGCAAACAAGTATCCTACCTCTCATATCTTACCATCATCACTGAAGTGTGTTAGTTTTGTTTTTTTTTTGGTGTTGTTCATTTGCTTCATTTTATCTTATTTTTCAATTCAATTAAAAGTAAATTAAATTAAAATTCAATCAATTAAAAAAACCCTCTCACAATAAATATGCATATTCTAGCAAATCCCATATTGTTCATGTCCAAAACATAGATCTCATTCTCCATATTGAATCCATCACTTCTCTGTCAGGAGATGGTTAACATGGTTTATCATCAGTCCTCTGGAATCATGATGGTCTTGGTAGTGTGTATGTGTGTGTGTGTGTGTGTGTGTTAAAGAATGGAGATGGAGGCATCCTACATGAAGATCCTGCCATTTGCAATGAGCCTCCAATGTCTTCAAAGAGAATCACAAGCTATTGTCATGGTGGTCTGTCAAAGATCCAAAATTAGGCTCTGTGGGATCAGATCTAAGTCTTCTATGCCTTTTTGTCCACTGCGACTGGGCTTAACTTTCTTTCCCCCTCTTCTTGTTGTTTAGGAGCTCTCTCCACCAAATCATTCTACATGTTGTATTCAGCATTAATGCGGGCTGACCACGTGAAGAGGTCTTCTGTTTCGGCTTTTAACAGATTAACAGCTAATAAACACTAGGCAATACCTCCCCTCAGAACCTTTTCTTAAAATACAGGTTGGATTTGCCAGGCCTTGTGTATTTAAAGCCTCCGAGATGCCAGGGATGACATTAGAAAGTTAACTGATAAAGCAAACTAATGATACACTAACACAAAAAGCCAATTAGCATGTTAGAAACCCAAGGAAGGGGATTCTGAAGCCTCTTCTATGGAAAGGATATTGATTTGCACTTGTAACACATCTCTAGCTTTGCTCTCTGGGGCACAGGATTGAATATAATGGCAATAATAACAATAGCTACCCTGCCCATTATAATTTTACAGAATGCTTTACATAACTTAGTTCATTTGATCCTCGCAGCAACCTTGTGAAGTAGGTATGGACATTTTTATCCCCATTTTACAGATGAAGAAAATGAGACTGAGAGAGATGAAGTGACTTGCCAATTTTTACACAGCAACTTAGCATCAGAGTTAGGATTCTGCTGAGACCTTCAAGTCCAAAACTCTTTCCGTTATACCGGGATACCTGGAAATGAAGAATGTGGAGAAGATGGGAGTGTTTTGAGATCAAACAGTATAGATTCCACCTAAGAAAGATTTTTTTGTATCAGGAAAGGGCATCACAGTCACCTCAACAAGTCCATAGCATAGGGCTGTCTGCTATATGACCTTCCTTCGGTCAGTCAACAAATATTTATTAAGTACATACAATATGCCAGGAACTGTGCTAAACACTGGGGATATAAAAAAAGGCAAAACCACAAATTTTTGTTATGACATATAAATAAATATGACATAAATAAATACAGGCTATACAAAGAAACGCAACAAACAGATATGAAATGCCTTTTGTTCAGTCATTTTTCAGTCATGTTAGACTCTTTGTGACTCTGAGGTTTTCTTGGCAAAGATACTGGGGTGGTTTGCCATTTTCTTCGCTAGCTGATTTTGCAGATGAGGAAACTGAGGTAACAGGATTAAGTGAAGTGCCCAGAGTCACACAGTTAGTAAGGGTATGAGGCTGGATTTGAACTTAGGAAGATGAGTCTTCCTGACTCCAGGCCTGATACTCTATCCACTACACGACCCAGCTACCCATGAAATGCCTACTTTATGCTAGGTATTGGGAAGATAACAAAGTTTAGGAGAGAAAAAAACTAAGTCCTTGTCTAAGAATCAGAGAAGGCCCCCAAAAAAGAAACTTTGTTCCAGATTTAACCTGACTCCTTAATCCCAAATCCCCTTTTGAAAAGAGGATGGCTCAGTAAGAGACTGCCTGTTAGGAAATCTAGCTACTTCTGAATTAATGCATTTTTCACATGTGTTTTAGAGAGATAATTGGATGAGCATTAATGCATGTGTCCCTCTTCTCTCCCTCAAGTTGGAAAGATTCTCATTTCAGCCAGATCCAGAAGCAAATTGTCTAAAAAGAACTGCCCTAAAGGTCTTCCTTATAGTCAGAGAAGTCCAAGAATCCGGTCCCAGTGACTACTTATCTGGTTCCCAGCCTGATTCCTTAATCCTAATAGCTTGGGAAAATATTAGGAAGAGCTGTATTTGACTTTGGAAGCATTTCCCATCTCTCTGCTTTTCCACTGACCAAGTTAGACTCCTGTGCCGAGACTGTCCTCCCCCTAGAATGCCTTGTTTCCTTCCAGACTCCGCTCAAGCGTCGCCATTTATATGAGGCCTTTCCTACTCTCCCCAGCTGTTAGGGCCCCACCTCCATCCACTTGTATCTATTTTGCATGTATCTTAACTTTGCAAACTTCAAAGCACTATACAGAAATTCTAGTTATTATTATATACACCTATGTCCATGCTATCTTTCTCATAAGCTATAAAATCCTCAAGGCGACAACTATTTCACTTGTCTTTGTACCTACCCTCAGTGTTTAGCACAGTGTCTAGCACTACAGTAGATACTTAATAATTGCTTGATAACTGACCGACTATTTGATTCCTGGTACATTCAGAAAGCATTGGTTTCAGATCACCTCTTCTAGCAGAAACAGCAAATTCTATTGATCATGCCCTTAAGGCATTTATCTTCCATTGACTGGCCTTCCTTCGTTACTGAGTTTTTGTATACGCTGTATGAATGAATGAATGAATGAGTAAAGCAGTTATTAAGCGCTTACTATATGCAAAGCACTGGAGATACAAATAGAAAAGACAGTCCCTCTTCTCAAGAACTTTCCTCGTCCCCCTTAATTCTATTGCTTTTCCTTTGTTGACTCTTTCCCACTTATCCTGTATGTTGTTTGCATTCTGCATGAGTTGTTTGTATGTGGACTTCCTCATTAGACTGTGAGCACTTTGCGGACAGGGACTGTCTTTTACATTTCTTTGTATTTCCAATGCTTAGCACAGTATCTCGCACATAGTAGGCACTTAAAAATGTTTATCTACTGAGTGAATGACAAATGGGGGAGGCAACCTATATGGAAGATTTTAGCTGCAAGTCAGATGGAGAAGTCCTTAGGGTACAGTGGCAAAGCTGATGGTGACTGTCTCTTCTTCAGTTTCTGATTATGAATCATTTTGTGGCAAATGGTCTTTGCCCCCAAGGACTTTTGTGGCAGACTTTTCAGAAGCTGTGCCTGTGGCATCCACTGGAGCAGCTGCCTGGCTCTATCTTTACAGGGGTTGCTTCCTTCAATGGTGGCTGAGGGCACTGGGCTGCAAGCATTGCTATTCCCAAGGTTCTTGGGTTCAGGGTCTTGGGCTATTTCCTTTAGGGTCTGAGAGGAGATTTGGGTCAAGGTGGTGGTGGTGGTGGTTTGACCTACCTGGCACATGCTGCATCCTGTCTACCCCACAGGGTGGCATCTTTATAGCCTGGATTGTCTGTTCTGTGGGTGGTGGTTGTTGGAGCTGGCTGGCCCCTTCTCCATAGGAGTTGCTTCCCCAAATGTAGGCTATGAGGGATAGTCTGTAAGCAGAACCAGTCATCTAGGGGCTGCTACCATTTCCATGGCTCCTGTGCTTGAAATCTGTATCACCTGTATTTGTTCGTCTAGTAAATCTTTTAAGCCATTGATGTTCTAAAGACCACTGCCTTGCCCATTGGGACAGTCCTGCATGACTGGTAGCCATTAAGGGAGGCAGAAGAAAGCTCTTACTGTTTTTGGATCAAAGAGAGGTGAAGGGGAGATTAGGTAGTTATTCAACATTACCCTCAATGTCACTGGAAGATTTAGAAGACCCTAGATGGTTTTTCTTATCTAGCCCATGTTACTACCTGCAGGGTGACACAATCTGCTAGCAGGCCAGAATGCAATAGCAGCAGGGTCTTGGATTGGTTTCTAGATGGTCTCAGACTGGGCAAATTCCTTTTTTTTTTTGTTTCTGTGAGCTGATGGCATCAGTGCGTTGTGCTTTTCTAGGCTAATTTACTCTGGCAGAGGCGATCTCTCAGCGGTGAGGCATGCACCCACCGCTCGCCAGGTGAGAGAAGTTAGGCCTGTCCTTTCTGTCGAACTCAATGCATTTCTTGGCCTTATTTATGTCTTCTTCACCTGGCTTTCTTCTCATTCCATAGGACTGGACTGGAGGCCATTATGGAAACATATGCTTTCTGGAGACCACCTGTGCGCACACTCACCTTCGAGGATTTCACCACCATGCAGAAACAGCAAGGTAAGCCACTGGATAATGGTCACTGGCTGGGGACAGGGTAGGGGCAGGGGAGGGACAAGGTACAGAATTGGAGTTGGGACATCTGGCCTCCAGCTGAGTCATGGGATTGTGCCGATGGCTATGAAATGAAGAGAACCTGGGAACCACATAAGTAACTGGAACATCATCACTTGGCTGGATGGGGGATAGGAACAACCCCTCAGATCTGGTTCTCTTAGGTAGCACTAACTCTGCCCTTCAGAAGCTACCTCAGCGCCCCCAGTGAGGAAGGTTAGTTATTTCATTTTTCCTCCTTTTCCTCCTAAGTATTTAACAGAACACCGATAATTTATAGATTTTCCTACAATGTCATCTCCACTATCAATGTAGTTGCCATTTTATAGATAAGGGTCCTGGATCACAGAGAGATGGGTGTCATCATTTGCTTGAGGTCTCCCAGTGACTAGGGGGAGCTAAATATTGACTCTCTACCCCAAGTCTACTGTTTTAGCCCACTGAGACTCCCTACCTCCTTTGCTTACTACTTTATGTTTTATTTGGAACAAGATTGTTCTCAAGGAAAGATGTGGAGAACTTCCAAAAGAACTGCCTGAAAATAAACTACACATATTTCAAGTGAAACCTCAGATGCAGCTAGCCTATATGCTCTCTCTCTTTTCCTTTCAAACAGGCTTTTTTTTGCCCCCCTTTTTCCAACTCCTATCTTCTAGAGTCTAGATACATAGTTTCAAACTAAAAAAGAAATGGGAGCCATTAATCTGTATGTAAGGATCCCTAGGGGCTGTATATTGACTTAGTTTTAAAATGTAATATCATTTATGTATTAGGACAGCTAGGTGGAGCAGTGCATAGAGCTCTGGGCCTGGAGTCAGGAAAAACTCATCTTCCTAAGTTCAAATATGGCTCCAGACACTTACTAGCTGTATGACCCTGGACAAGTCACTTCACCCTGTTTGCTTCAGTTTCCTCCTCTGTAAAATGAGCTGGGGATGGAAATGGCAAACCATTCCAGCATCTCTGCCAAGAAAACCTCAAATGGTGTCACAAAGAATCAGATACGACTGAAAAACAACTGAACAATAAGAATCTATCTATTATTGTATTTTAATTTATTTTGTTAAATATTTCTCAGTTATGTTTTAATCTGGTTTGGGCCCCCATTCAGAAGTGTTTCAGGCTCGGGGTATGGGCCGGACTGAGTGGTCTGATCTAGACTATAGGCCAGGATTGGTAAACTAGATCCTGTGTTCCCATTCTCCTTTATTCCTAAGCCAGTGGCCCGCCTGCAATCAGTATCAAGGCTCTCCGGCATCCTGACTCACCTCACTCCCGTAATGTCAAAATGAAAGTTGCCATAAGACCTGTAGGATAGCTCTCCTAAAAGGTTACTAACAATCAGGAGTGTGCTGGAGTCAGCTCAAATAGGCACAATATAGCCAATTATTAAATTTTCAGTGTGAGCTTTTATATCTCAGAAATCGGCCAAGGCTACAAATCATCACTTGATTTATTGTTATGTTGATTATCTAGACTTAAAATGATAGAGAAAATGTCAGTAATACAAATTTAACTTAAACATATGTACAGTGTTTTATTTTTCTGGAGAGCTAGTTGTTAAACATTTACCAGCACACCACTGCTAGCCATAGTTGTTGATGCTTTTAGTCCAAAGGTTCTTAACCATTTTTTGGTGCCATGGCGGTCTGATAAAGCTATTGACCCCATCTCATAATTAAGACTTTTAAAAAATGCAGAAACCATGACTATCTTTTCTATACAAAAACTTAAAAAGGGAGAGAAATGTAAGGAATTGGGAGAGGTGGGGGAAGTCAATTTGATTGGTCATGGAACATCCCATCCTATCTACTAAGCTGAACCTACCATTTGATTACTGTTGCTGATCAAAATGGTGCCATTTGACCAAATCATCATTCTTCCCACTCTGATCTTTGATGACAGTTATTTAGACAGCCAAATCCATTCAGCAAACCATGCTCTCACTGCCCACTCTCATGCCTGCCTTCTGATTAACCCACACAGAACTGATGGAGAGATAGTCCAC